CCTGTCAGATTATTTTCCGACAACCCGATAAACCTCAGTGATCTGAGCTGGCCGATGGAGAAAGGGATTTCTCCAGTGAAGCTGTTGTTGTCGAGGTACAAAGCAGCGAGCAAATGAAGTCTGCTGATGGACTCTGGGATTTTTCCGGTCATCTGATTGCTGGAAAAATTGGCGTACATTAGATTTCTGAGCTTGCCGATTGTTTCGGGCAAGTTTCCCGAGAAGTTGTTCCCGTAGAGATTGAGGCTGGCGAGCGAGGCCAATTTCCCGACCGACGGAGGTATCGGGCCAGAAAATGCATTGGACGAGAGGCCCAAATCCGTCAGCGAGGTCATACCGATGAAAAGGTCGGATGGGATTTGGCCCGAAAGGAAGTTGTTGTCAAGAATCAATCTTTGTAAACAGGTCAGGTTCCGGAAGGTGGCGGGAATCGGGCCCGTGAGGTTGTTTTCTTTGAGGAACACGTAAGTCAGGTGGGCCAGGCGGCCGAGTTCGGTGGGGATGGGCCCACTTAGGTATTTGAAGTTGCTGATGTCGAGTTGTCGGAGGGAAGTGAGGTTGCCGAGGAAAGGGGAGAGTTTTCCGGACATGGTAAAGTTGTCGGGGTCACCGTCTATGATGAGGACGAGGCCATCGACCCGACCCGTTTTGCGATCACACGACACTCCCTTAAATTCGTCGCAACAGTCGTTGTTTGGGCGCCACGTTTCGAGGAGGTGGGACGGGTCGTCGGTTATCATTTTCTTGAACTCGAGGAGGGCTTGTTTGTCGGTTGGGTGGCACGACGACCCGGGTTTTACGAGGGGGAAGGAAAGGAGTATGATGAGGTGGAGAGTGAGGAGGGGAAGTGATTTTGATGTGGAGTGATTTCCCATGGAGGATTTTTGTGGAGTTTGCATAAGGTCTCTGTTTTATTTTATTTTTGGATTAATGAGACTGTGCAAATGGAGTGAGAGTGGTTTTAGCCTTACTCTTCTCATATGGGTTTGTGATTTTATATGAACTGCAATCGTTTTCTTCATTTATAGTCGTTTGTCCAATGATGGCCCGTGTCAATATTTTTTTATATATATAATTTTTTTGTACTGAAAAGTGGAGTCTACCTTGACTTTTTTATATAATGAGAATAAAATCTCTACAAAGTTGATATTATTCCCATGCTCGGAAGATGTGTATGGGTTTTAATTTTTAGAATTTGTCATATACAACTTGAAATTGTTATAAATATATATGGTCCACCACCATTAATTTTATGTATGTGAATGACTATTT